ATATGGCAAGGACCAGTAGGATCGAATATTTAAATCCTAAAGAAACTTAGCATCTTTTAAGGCAGCTCAATGAAACTATTTCACTGGAATTTATAACCTGCAATACGTCTACCAAAACAACTGAGAGCTGGACGTCATCCCAGCACTCAGGAGGCCGAGGCAGGAGGATCGCAGCAAGGTCAAGGCCAGCCTGGGCTACATATGGAGTTTGAGATTGGCCTGAACTACACAGCGACCCTGTCTCAAAGCAGGCCCAATTGGGCCGGGTTGTAGCTCAGTGGTATCACAGCCTGCCTCACAAGTGGAAGGAGCTGGGTTTGATCCCTGGTACCAAAAAAAAAAAGAGCTGGCCGGGAGTGGTAGCACACACCTCTAATCCCAGCACTCGGGAGGCTGAGGCAGGAGGATCACTGTGAGTTTGAGACCAGCCTGGGCTACATAATGAGTTCCAGGTCCGTCTCAACTACATAGTGAGACCCTGTCTCAAAAAAACAAAAAAAAAACAAATAAACAAAAAAAGAGCTGTCACTGTTTACCCTGCCCGAGGGACTGGGTGCTCGGGCGAGGGTAGCCAGGGTCCCTGCTTCTGTCTTCCAGACTTCCCCCTGCCCGTGGCCTCCACAGGCTCGCCGCAGGAGGACACCAAGGTGAGCCTGGGACCCCGTTCCGGCTTTCCCGGAGGTGGGGGCAGCCGGCATGGAGGAGCACCCCTTCCCTGGGTCTCCCCAGTTGTCTCACAGCTCCCCTGTGAGCATGGGCGTCGCCCTGTACCCTCGATGGACAAGGAGCTGGGCCCGCCCAGGCCTCGCTGACGCAGGTGCCCTTGCTGCTCCGCACCAGGCCGAATTTGCGGGGTGGAAGCGGTCCAGGCTCAAGGCCAGCAGTGTCTCTGTCCCTCCCTGCGCTCCCAGTGACGCTGGCCCAGAGCCCGGAGGAACCACTCCCCGGGCCCCTGTGTCTCCCGCAGGCCGAGTGCACCCGGAATATAAAGAGGTGCTGGTTCCTGTCCTTCCTCAAGCCCAGCGAGCCCATCTGTGCCAGTGACCAGAGGACCTACAGTGGCGAGTGCCACCTCTGCTCCAGAGTCCTGTGAGTGTCAGTCTCCTTCACTCCTCTCCACCAGGAGCCCAAGGTGGGAGGGGGTGGGGGTGCGACTGCTTCAGCGGACTTCCTGCGTCCCAAGCTGGGTGTCCCTGAAAGGCACCTCTGCTGTTGGCCCTCCTGGGCCTCCATCCTTCCCTGTGTCCCCAGAAGGACCTGTGACCACAGAGGTGACTGCAGGGGAGGGGACTTTGGAGCCAGGAGCAGCAGGCCAGGTCATGTGCCTAGAGATGAGTCCCCCGGGCCCTGCTGGACAATGGAGGAGGCTGGGCAAGGGTCTTCCTGCTCCCATGGTTTACTGGTTTTGGAATGGATGTCACTCTCTGCAACACTCTTAGCTGGACATGGTGGCACACATCTGTAATCCCAGCACTCAGGAGGCTGAGGCAGGAGGATCTGGGCTACACAGTGAGTTCAGGGTCAGCCTGGATTACATATCCTGGCCTTGTCTCCAAAAACAAAAAGAATTAGTACCATAATTAAGAAAGAATTTACAATAATTAAAAGTTCTTTTTTTAGCAGTTGCCCTGGGAATACAATAATTTTAATTTGGTATAAATTTATACCAACCTAATTTGGATTAATAACAACTTAATTACAAATGTAGCCAAAGATGTTGCAAATTCTGTATTGCACATATTATGTGTATGTGTATCTGTAGCTCCTCTCCACCTTTGAGCTGTCATTGCCAGGTCATTTAAATCTGTATACTTTGTCAGTCAACACAGATTTATAATTATTGTCCATGAATTTGTCCTTAAAATCAAGAGAAAAAGAAATATAAAACAAAAAATGCTTTCATACTGGTTTTATATTTTTTATGTAGTTATATCTAATAGCTCTTTATTTCTTTACATAGATTCAAATTTGTTTAGTGGGGGTTTTATTGTTTGTTTGTTTTGAGACAGAGTCTTACTGTATAGTTCAGACTGGCCTAGAACTCACTGTGTAGCCCAAGCTGGCCTCAAACTCGTGACAATCCCCCTGCCTCAGCCTCCTCAGTGCTAGGATTACAGGTGTACACCAGCACATCCTGCTCATCCTTTCAAATTCAGCCTAAAAGACTCCTGTTAGGATTTTGTAGGTCTACTAGCAGTAAATTCGCTTAAATTTATTACAAGAGATGTGTTATTGGATACTATTGTCAGTAGGATTATTTTCTTCATTTTATTTTCATATCATTCATTGTTTATGTATAGAAACAAAACTGATTTGGGGTTGTTAGTCTTGTACCCTACAAGTTGTAGGGCTTTTGGTGTGTGATTTTTGTTGTACTGGGGTCTTCACACTGAGCTATATCTGCAGCCCTTTTGTCAGTTTTCTTATTTCAAGAGAGGGTCTGGCCAAGTCCCTATGTTGCCCAGGCTGGGCCTGAATTTAAAATTCTTCTGTCTCACCCTCCCAGAAGTCGTAGTTTCTGTACTAATTCTTTAGCATTTTCTTTTTCTTTCTTTTTCTTTTTTTTTGTACCAGGGATCAAACTCAGGACCTTGCACCTGCAAGGCACGTGCAGTGCTACTGAGCCAGCCCTTAAATATTTGTTAAATAGGAATTCACTATTCACAGATTTCCTTCTCAAATTTAGCCAAAGATTATTGAGTGAAATTTAGTCAACCAAAAAAAAAAAAAAAAAAAAAGAAGTAGCCGGGGGTGGGGGTGCACGCCTATAATCCCAGCATTTGGGAGGCTGAGGCAGGAGGATGCTGTGAGTTCGAGACCAGCCTGGGCTACATAGTGAGTTCCAGATCAGTCTCAACTACATAGTGAGACCCTGTCTCAAAAAACAAACAAACAAAAATGTAGTCATAATTTATGATATATTGCAGGCCAAAAGTAATCACTTCATAATATCATTTCTTTCAGATATGAAGGGTTTAACGTAACTAAACTGTACGATGGGCCATGTGTAAGTAAAATCACTCACTTTTATTTTTAGCAGTAAACCAGATATAGTTAAGAGCTCACTGCTGTTGATTTTAAATGTTTTATTATGAAAAATTTCAAGTATTCCTAAAAGTCAGGATAATAATGTCATGAACCCTATATATCTGTGATACAGAGTGAATATTTGTGAAGTTTTTCCCACTTTCTTTTTGTTTGTTTATTTGTTTGTTTTGTCTCGCTATATAGCCCAGGTTGGCCTGGAACGCATCGTGATCCACCTGCCTCAGCCTCCCAAATGCCGGGGTTGCAGGCGTGCGCCACCACACCCCACACTGCCTCTGACTGGTTTCTCCTCTAGGACCTGCTTCCTTTTCAGAATTTCCCAGCCACCCAGGAAGTGACACCTTTGCCCTGTCCCTGACCTGCTGTCCCGAAGCCCAAGAGTGACAGCAGCCCTGGTCCGGGTAGAGGGGCCAGGTCTAGATGTTGTGTCCTTGAATTCAGGGTACAGGGACCAAAGCAAGAGCACAGCTGGTGCCCTCGAGCTCGCTGGACCAGGCGCGGCAGCAGGATGGGGACAAACTCCCATACGAGAAAAAGCAGGTAAAAGCGGACAATTGTATCATGTATAGTAATTTTATGACAATATTTCTGACATGATCTCCGTGACAAGCTCACTAGGTCCATGTGACTTTTTTTTGTTTTTTTGAGGCAGGGTCTCAGTGTGTAGCCCATGCTGTCAAACTTATGGGGCTTCTCCTGCCTCAGCCTCCTGAGTGCTGGGATTATAGGAGTGCTTCACCACACCCAGCCCTGTGTGATTTAGACCAACACACACACACACACACACACACACACACACACACACACACACGCACTCTCTCTCTCTCTCTCTCTCTCTCTCTCACACTCACCCTGCTCCCCCTGTGCCTAAGGCCTCCCCGTCCCCGGAAGTCAGACATCAGCGCCTCCTGCTTGGGGTCCCCGTATGGAGACCTCAGGTTGTTTCTGCCAGGGCCACTTGCCGAGCTGTGTGACTTCGTGGCAACTGCCGCGGAACCTGCCCACTTCCAGCAGGCCCAGGGCTCAGTCTGCAGCCCTTCTCCAGCCAAGCCCTGCTCACTCTCTGATCCAGACCCTGACTTCAGAGCGCTGAGCGGAGATGAAGGCTGAGGGGAGAAGGGCTTGAGGGACTTGCAGGGAGGCGCACAGCTGTATGACCCGGAGCAAGGGTCCCGAGAGCAGAGATCTGTCTGCATGACTTTGTTTTTGTTTTTTAGTCTTTTGAGACAGGGTCTCACTAAGTAGTCGAGACTGACCTGGAACTCACTGTGTAGCCCAGGCTGATTGAACTCAGGGATTCTCCTGCCTCAGCCTCCTGAGTGCTGGGAGCACCGGTGAGCACCACCACACCCAGCTCTGTGGGGAGTTGGTAGACCGTCACGATGTATCTTCATTCTTTTTACTTCCCCTTCCCTCCCTTACAGCTTCTAGGAATCATTTGTTTTCTTTTATTCCATTTGTTCTAACATAGAAGGGGAGTGTGGCAGGGTGGGACAGTGCCTGCCTGGCAAGCTCCAGGTCCTGAGTTCCATTCGCGGTACCAAAAACACAAAACAAAACAAAACACGGTCCCTAACTCTCCTAGGGAGACTCCTGCACAGTATTATGTTGGGGCCTCAACAGTCTGTGTAAGATAAAAATGCGTTTTACTCGTTTATTTATTTATTTATTGGTACTGGGAATCAAACTCAGGACCTTGCACTTTTGAGGCAGGTGGCAGAACAACTGAGCTAAATCTTGGCCCACTTACTCATTTATTTTAAATGCAAATGTTAGCTGCACCATAGATGGAAAATTAAGTAAAAGGGATCACCCCAAAATCTTTTTTTTCGTACTGGGGATCAAACTCGGGACCTTACGCCGAACCACTAGGCTAAATCCCCAACCCTCCACCCCAAAATCGTATTGCAAAGTACAATTCTACCTCTCCCCCAAGGCACCAGTGAAACTGTTGGTAAATTTCTCTTGTTTTTATAAAATGATGCGGGAAATTCTGATATCTGGGATTTATAGAATATATACTGGGGCCGGGGATTTAGCTCAGCGGTGCTGCCGCCTGCCTCATAAGCCTAAGGTCCTGAGTTCAATCCCTGGTACCAAAAAAAAAAAAGAAAGAAAAGAAAAAGAAAAACAAGAATGTAGATTGACCCTGATGTGGTAACACAGGCCCGGAACCCTAGCACTCTGGGGGGCTGAGGCGAGACGAATGCACGCTCCACCCCTGCCTGGTCAGTTTAGCAATTTTGCAAGATCCTAACTCAATATGAAAAATAAATAAATAAAAATGTAACTAGCTGAGGATGCAGCTCAGAGGAAAGCCCCTAGATTTGATCCCACTAAACAAAACAAAACTGTTACCAGGTTTTGGGGGGCTCCTCTTGATTTCCAGGTTCTTCTCATCTCAAACAATGAACAAAACAAGCAGAAACAGTTACAAAGCTTATCTGAAGAAGTAAAATTGAAGGGTAAGGGAGAAACTGCCTCTGTAGAACAAACTCGGACAGCTTAAAAAAGGAAAAAGAAGTGTGCACAGGACGGGATGCTCTGAGGAAAGCCATGCAGTGAGCTCCACTCCAGTGTCCACCCTTTTACGTGAGCCACACCTCTGGGAGAACTCCTGCTAGGGGCTGAGAGCAGTGCTGCGTGGGTTTTACGGTCCTGCCCCTCGTTTCCCAGCCGGGAAGCCACGCCCTACCGCCTATGTCAAGCCGGAGGAGGTGACTCACTCCTGTGATCTCTGCACCAGAGAGACTAGGGCCAGAGATGCCAGGCTGGGCTGCAAAGTGAGTTCAAGGACAGCCTGAACAGTGAGACCCTGTCTATAAATAAATAAGGCAAGCCCGGGGTGTCGGCTCACACCTGCAATCCCAGCATTCTGGGAGACGGAGGCTGAGGCTGAGGCAGGAGGATCACAAGTGTGAGCCAAGCCTTGGCCACTGAGTGACATAGCAAGACCCTGTCTGAAAATTAAAAAGGTCTGGGGATGCAGCTCCGTGCAGAGGCCCTGGGTTCAATCCCCGGTGTGACAAAAACAAAACAACAAAGCCCTGAACTCCATGAAACACTTGGCTGGCGTGAACGAAGCGGATGGGCAGGGCCTTCTCCCCAGCCTCGCACTGCAGCAGCACGGAGAGCTGCTCGGTCCTCAGCGCCCCTCCGTGGCTCCCCAGCGCCGCTCCCCCGTCCTCTGCCCCCCACCTCGGACTGCGGCCGCTGTCCCTTAACCTCCCCACTTCCTCTGAGCGGCGCTTCTCCTGCAGGAAACCGCCTGGACCTAGGGGAGAACCAGGCGCTCGCGGGGCCCAGCTCGGGGAGAACTGGAGAGGACGGGAAACCTGTGTTCGGCCTGCAGCCTCTCCGCGGAATAAACGCTTCTCGGCAGCGAACCTGGCGGCAGACACTTGCTTTTGTCACAGACGGCTGAGATCCTAAGCAAAGCCCCAGCCGTGAGCTCGGGAGAGAGCGCTTTATTCGGAAGGAGGGAAAAGGAGAAGACAGCCGCCCGCACACAGCGCAGAGCCGGGCTGGTGGGCTTCGTCCGGCTCCCGGTCAGGGACGAGCAGGCCTCCCCCAGCGTAAACCCGACCCAATAACACATCAGAGAGGAAGATTCTATCTGTAGAGAGGCGAAGGAAGAGGGGACAAAGGGCGCAGCTTCCCTGGTGAGAATCGGGGGCTGAGGGTTCGGCTCAGGGGCGCCCGCCTCCCTCCCCGGGACACTGTTCCCAAGCGAATTTCTCCACTAGAGTTTTGAGTCCCAGTCAGGATTCGCCAGAAAACCCAGGGCGGCCCTCTTACCGTCTTTCCCGCCTCTCTTCCTGCCCTTTTCTATTTAAATAGTGGGGAACGTTGCTTGGGTCATTTGTCGTTTTAGTGGTTTGATGTTTCCTCCTTCTGTCTCTGCGAGTCATAGTGTGGTAGCTCCTGACTCGGGGCACAGATTCAAACCAAACCTGTTGGCTTTGAACTCACTGTGGAGCCCAAGCTGGCTTTGAACCTGTGAATCTGCGATCCTCCTGCCTCGGCCCCGAGTGCTAGGATTACAGGCATGCACCCCATACCCTGCAAACACTTTTTTTTTTTTTCAAACATTTCTTAAAAGATTCTTAAAAATCTTGGTTTGGTTTTGTTTTATTTTGTTTTTTTGTACCCGGGATTGAACTTGGGTCCTTAACGCTTGAGAGACAGGCGGTAGAACCATGCAGCTAAATCCCCTGGCACAAGAAATCTTTTTTAAATACCAGATAGTTTGTGTGTTCATCCCCAAGCTACACAAATCACACCTGTGTTCTCTCTGTTCTTACATAGATTGTGACCAAATGACCAGAGAAATATAAAACAACAGCACAATTCCCTCAATAGCAGCATTTATCTGAGGGCTTTGGTCACCACGGCACTCACCAAGAGTGTCAGGATCTAGTTTCGGAACTTCCAACCACTCCATAAAAGGGATTCAGTTTCCTTCAGAGAAAACTTCACTGAGCACAATACTTGAGTAATGCCAGCCATAGCAAGGTTTCTAAATATTTCCCCAGTACTAACTAAAGTCTCAAAACAAAGTTAACTACAGTATATTCGAACAGCAGGTTACAAAACAGTGTATATGGCATCGCCACATTTTTATTTTGAAAAAATGTGTTAATATAGACAGAGATCAAAAAATTATCTAAAATAGTGTTCACTTTACTGTTACAATCTGTCCCTGGGAGAGCTCAGCATATTTTTCTTTCTGTTCAAGAACATTTGCTGGGTTTTGGGGGGGGGTAGCGGGGATCGAGCTCAGGATCTTTCATTTGCGAGGCAGATGGTGGCACCAATGACCTAAATCCCCGGCCCCTGTTGTTTCTTGAGACAGGGTCTTGCTAGGCAGTTCAGGCTGGCCTTGGACTCACCATGTAACCCCGGTTAGCCTCGAACTCCCAGCAATCCTCTGCTGGGATTCCAGGTGTGAGCCACCGGGATGAGATAAAGCAATCTATGCCTAAGGAACTAAAAGTATGTGAACAGTGTGCGATCAAGCAGAGAACATCAAAAAAGAGAAGAAGCAAACAAAACTTCTGGAAATCAAAAGCACAATAGTTAAAAAGACAAGTTCAGGGGCTGACTAGCAGCAGTGTTAAACAGCAGAAGAAAGAAGCTGTGAGCTTGGGGCTAGATCAGTATCATCCAACCTAAGGCACGGAAGGAAGGCTCCAGGAAGTCCTGTAATGGGAGATGTCTTCCAAGGGTTAGAGAGAGCCACTGTACAGACAAGAAAATACTCAAAGGAGGCTACAGGGATAATGGACACTTCTCCACTGCTGGTGTGAATATAAATCAGTACAGCCATTATAGAAATCAGTATGGAGATTCCTCAAAGAACTAAAACTAGTTTCCCCAGCTAATCCAGCTGTCCGTCTTCTCGAGATCCTCTTGAAAGAGTTAAAAACAAGCCAGGGATTTAGCTCAGTGGTTCCACTGCCTGCCTCACAAGTTCAAGGTCGAGTTCCATCCCCGGTACCAAAAAAAAAAAAAAAGAGTTGAAGTTGAAGATAGCCGGGCATGGTGGCACACGCCTGTCATCCCAGCACTCAGGAGGCCGAGGCAGTAGGATCGCTGTGAGTTCGAGACCAGCCTGGGCTACGTAGTGAGTTCCAGGTCAGCCTCAACTACATGGTGAGACCCTGTCTCAAAAAAACCAACCAAACAAACAAAAAAAACCAGTTGAAGACACCATATTACAGTGACCCAAGCACACCCATGTTTATAGCAGCACAGTTCATAACAGCTAAAACTCGGAAGCAGCTAATATGTCCATCAACAGATGAGTGGATAAAGAAACTATAGTATTTGCACACAGTGGAGTGCTACACCACCAAAAGGACAAACTTCAGTCACTGTAGGAAAATGGATGCACCTTGAGACCATAATGTTACGTGTAATAAAGCCACACAAACTTAAGTATCTCATGGTTTCTCTTATATGAAAAACTGAAAGCATAAAGAGTAAAAATTTTAAAGGATAATAAGAAGCCAGGCATGGTGGTGCACACCTGTCATTCCAGCACTCTGGAGGCTGAGGAAGGAGGATCACCACCAGTTCCAGGCCAGCCTTGGCTACATAATGAGTTTCAAAGTCAGCCTGAACTACATAAAGTGATACAGGGTCTCAAATTGAGAAATAGATCTTTCTCAAATAGGAAGAACAAGAGATGGAGCAAGGGACCAGGCGTGGTGGCACACTCCTGCAATCCCAGCACTCAGGAGGCTGAGGCAGGAGGATCGCTGTGAGTTCAAGACCAGCCTGGGCTACATATTGAGTTCCAGGTCAGTCTCAACTACATAGTGAGACCCAGTCTCAAAAAACAAACAAACAAAAAATGGAGCCAGGGCCAGGGACTAACTCAGTGGTTCCACCACCTGTCTTGCAAGCATAAGGATTCAAGTTCCATTCGGTACCCCCAAAAAAAAAAAGATGGAGCTAAAGTGGAGAGAGAGGAAGGAGGGGATGAAAAGGAATTAAGATGTGTTATGTGCGTGCACCAACCAACTCCACACAAGGAATGTAGAGATCATGTGCTGCAAACAATGACTAATTTTTTAAAATACAGTACTCCAAGTACAGTACTAATTGGCAGGTGACATCGTTTTTTGGGTTTTAGTTTGGTTTGGTTTTGGTTTCTCGAGACAGGGTCTCGCTACGTAGCCCAAGCTGGCCTTGAACTTATGGCATTCCTCCTGCCTCAGCCTCCCAAGTGCTGGGACTACAGGCGTGCGCCACCACACCCGGCAAGAAAACATTATCACACCTAACCTGTCACCAGTTTTCTGGTCACACCTGCCACAACGGACCCCCCTCAGTTCCTAGAGTCACCATCGTCTCCATGCATCTCACTACACCCCAGGGGAACTCCCGACTTCTCATTTCTTCAGCAGGACCGCCTCAGGTGACCCATCCACACCGGCAGAGCGGACCCGCTCCTTTCCCGGCCGGGTCCTCGGCCCCGCGGTTGCTAGGCAACGTGGGAGGCCCCTGAGCAGGGCTGCCCGACCGAACGCCTGAAGGACCCCAGGGTCCGTGCAGGTTTGACCAAGGCAGTGCCTGGCGGCCCGGAGTGGCGGCGGGAGAGCGAGGTGTACAGGCGGAGCACTGGCTGGGCTTTGTCCCAGATACGAGGTAGCTAAGGCCTGGAGGAGAAGTCGGGACTGGGAGAGCCCGGGCGTGGAGAAGTGGCCG